TTGAATTAATTACTATTAATTTTGTTTTTTATTACTTTTTTATATAATTAGAAAGATTGTGAAAATAATAAACGTGGTGATCTATTTTTAGAAATAGGAATAATGAAGTAAATAATACAAAGGTTAGTTACTCAAGAGTCATTCACACGTCATTCCACATCAAAAATATGAAAGATACTATCATAGCATAATCACGAGATGGTATTTAAACTATGAAAGGAAACTTAATAATAACTAGTAATAATAAATGACTTCAATCAGTTCAAATGAACAAGTAATAGAAACACTTCCCCCAGAATGTAATAACCAACAATTATCCAAACCAGAGCCTAAATGGATTCATTTGTCAAGATACCTTGCTAGAACATCACAAAACAAAGTATTTATTGACCCAAGTGGAGTAGGTCATTGGAATTCTATGGTATGGGAACCACCATGTGAGTTATTAGATTGTGGAAAAAGTTATTTACTCAAATTTGAAGTACCTGGTATTGATAAAAAGTCATTGTCTTTACAATATAGTAATAATTGGGTAATTGTTTCAGGTAATAAAAATATGCCAGTTGAAGATGGTGATTTTTGTTTTACTGAGATATTATATGGTCAGTTTAGAAGAGAAGTTCCTGTTCCTGTAGATGCAAGTAAAGATGGAATTAAAGCCTATTATCAAGAAGGTATTCTTTATGTTAGATTAACCAAAGTAGAAAATAGTCAATGGGTACATGTAGAAGTTAATTAATTTACTTACAACAATTTTAATTTTTAGATTTATAAAATAATAAATGAAAGTACAAGAGTAAATAAAATAAAGACAAGTTATTAAATATGAAAGTCATATTGTTTAATACTTTTTATTATAAAAATATTTAAAAACATATCTTAATTATTATATTTATAATGCAAAGATTATTTTATAACCAATTAATACTCTAAAAGTAATTTTAAATACAATTATAATAGAGTTAAAACCAGAAAAAGAATAAATATTAATTTTTCAATGATTCAAAAAATTGGACAACTTCTTCGGAATGATCTTCTTCCTCTTTATATGTGTCAATAATTTCCATACAAGCGTCTAAATATTCTTCATAAACGTCAGGTTCTTCTGACTTTAATGTTTTATTTTTTAAAATAGATTGAACAATACAACAACAATCACTTCCTAATAATTCAAGACCTTTATCTTCTAACAAATCACAAATTGACCCAATAAATTCAGCAACTTGGATGGTATCATTTAAATATGTAATATAATCAGCTACTTGTTGTAATATAGCCATTCGTTCTTGTGGGAAATGGTTTTCCATTTCACAAATATCACCTAATTTATCAATAACAACAGATGCAACTTTAGCTTTTGACGCTTCAGGGAATAAAGAGAAAATACGTGCACCAAATCTTAGTCCTTTTTCTTTCTTTAATACTTCTAATAAATTTCCTGATAAAGCATCAGCAACAGTTCGACTGATCTTTTCTTTTTTTGTAGCTAAAATTTGAGATACCTCAGGAATCATATATTTTCTATTATCATCATTAACCGCTTCAAGTAATCGAATGTCATTAAATAGAACAGCTTGAAGTAACATCTCTTCTAAACGAAGGGCTGAATCATATTTATGTAATTCTCCTAAAAACATAAAATCATTTTCTTCTCCACAAGATAATTGTAAAGCACTAAAACAAGTTGTACGAGATGGGTCTACACCAGTTAAATCAAATGGATAATGATGACAATGTGGATAATAACTTGTAACACAATCATCAAGTGTTTTATGTAAATGAGAATAAATTGATGCCATTGATCCTATAGGAGCATTTTCATGTTGCATGTTAAAAGCAATTTCATAATATTGTTCTTTATATGCAAAATAAGATTGAACACTTTCAATGGAAGCAAAGAAAGTATTTCTAATTTCTTGATCAGTCATATATTCACATTTAGGTGGTTGGTATTGATGAGAATCAATAAAGAAGTCATGACCTATACCAATAGGTAAAAGAGTAGGATGTCTTTTTCTTAATTCTTCGTTAACTTTTTTGATTTCATTTCTTTTCTCTTGGGTTAGTCCACCTCTATTATATCGTTTAGTAGGATATTCATGTCCACCCTTTTCTTTGTCATCTTTTTTCTCTTCTTTTTGGTGATAATTATTATAATATTTTTTTCCTTGTAGTTTGTTGAATCTTCTTCGTTCAAAAAATTCAGGTTCTTCTTTTGGTATTTCTTTTGGGACATACCCAATAGCCCCACTCTCAATTTTTTGTCCCCTTTGACGACGTCCTCCTCTATCTTGTTTGCTCATCTAATAATTCATTCTTTCTTCTTTTATTTTTCTTCTTTTTTATTTTTCTTATTTTTCTATATTTAAAATAATTAACTTTATTAATAAAAATTAGTTTTAAAAGAAAAAAACAATACAATAACAAAAAACATTCAATCAATAGAAATGAAAGACAAAGAAATCTTGAGATACGTATGAGGTTAAAAATTTCCTTTAAAATATTCATCTTTAAGACTTAAATCATGTGAAAAATTACAATGCTCTCCTTTTCTACATACCCCCGTCTCAAAGAAATATTTGCATGGCTTAGTACGATATAATTTGTCAACTGAAACAAATTGTTTTGAATTTTGTTGACAAAAAGAATGATTGTTTAAAGATGAGATGTCATGAGAAAAAGTACAACTACTTCCCTTCTTACAATACCCATTTTGCATAAAGAAAATACAAGGCTTTGTTCCATATTTTAAATGTTTTTGAGGAGAATCAGGAAGTTCTCTATTATTAAACATTGGAAAGTAAAAAGGATTTGAAAATGGAATATCTGGCATTGAAGCCGTATTAGAATTGACAAAACTATTGGTTTGTTTAATAGGAAGGTTTTCAGTTTGATTTTTCATACTAAAATCAACTGATTTACTGTCTCTTTCTCTCTTATTAACTATGTCTGGAGATGAACGGGTAGAATGAGGATCACTTAACGACTCTGGAAAAGAAGAAGAGAGTAAGAAGAAGACATCATCGGAACCAACCTAATATAGTTAATAATATAATTTATACCATTAAGACAAGTTAACCACACTCTGAGACTTTCCAAATGGCAATATAAAAAAGAATGAAAAAATAAATTTGAATATTAGTAGAATGAACATAACTCAAAAAAATATCTACTATTATTCTATTGTATTTATGCCATTGTCATTAAATCTCAACTGCAATATCTGCAAAAAGTGCGACAAACTTGATCGGTTGATAATTCATCTTCTCCAATTACATCCATTTGAAGTAAGGTATTAACCCCAACATAAGGAGTGTCATCATTGTCTAAGAAAGCATCAAAGGCACTAAATTTGTTCATTTGATATAACTAATTAATATTAATTCCGAATAAATATTTTAAGATTTTTCCTTAAATATTAAAATGTACACGTTGATAATAAATGAGATCTCTTCTTTCCTTTCGTTATTTATCTGTTTGGTTTAATCCTCAACTCTTTTCATTGAAAACTTGTTATTTTTCAAAGAAAGTTTTTGATTTTTGTTAATCAATTACTATCTTTATATTATAATATTAGTTTTTCCATTTTGTGGTTTTATTTTTATCTAAAATATGGAACAATTAAGAACTAATAATTTTATGATGTTTCTTATTTTTTTCTATTTCTTTCCTTCGTTTTGTTTCTGAAACAGAAAAGTTTAGAAGATTTAAACAGTTTTAATTTATTAGTTCCATTCATATACGTGGTGTCTTAAGTTGATATATTATAAATAGAATTGATTTATTTTTGAAAAATAATCATGAGTTTGATAATGTCTCGAAATTAAAATTGAAGTGGTTATGGGAGATTGTTTTTCAGAGGGAATGAAAAAGCAAGATAGATTGAAAAATTTTGTTGAAGAAAAAACGGTTAATGAAACTTATCAAAGAAGAAGGATAAATAACACAAATTTAAGATTTTTAAAGAAAACAGAAAAAGTAAATGTTATATGAAAGAGGAGAAAGAAAAAAGAGAATAGAAAGAAATGAAATGATCAAATCTCAATATTTAGTGATTGAAAGATGAGTATCCCTCTAGCTAAATCACATAATAGACCTGTTTCTTTTCGACCTACTCAAATGCAAACTGTTCAGTCAATGGGGAAATCTGAATATGGATCATTAGATATTACTCCAAGAGGGGAATATTTTAATACTTCTACACCAACACCAGTCATTGAACCAAACCAAATTAAAGTTATTGATGTTAAGTCAGAGTTACAAATTGATTTATCTACATTAAAGTGTGTTATTATTCATATTGTTACTGTTCAATTAGATTTAACAACAAAATATTTATTCAAGAAACCAACAGATATACACGAACTAGATTTATTTATTCATTCAGTTTATGATCCTAATAGTACATTACATCAAAAATTAAATGTGTCAGGTACAAGGGATAAAACATCATTATCAATAATTTCAATGGATTATTTACCAATAGACAACCATCCTAGTTATAAAATATCATTATCTCCTTTAAGTAAAAATTCAACTCCACCACTTGATTCATGGGAATTATCAGAAAATCATCCTAAGTCATTTGGTAAATCAATGTCTCGTTCAGGTTCTGTAGCATTATCTCCAATTTCTTTAACACCACCAAAGGGTGTTATAGTTTCCCCTAAACAAGTTCCTGGTCTTTCATCAACCCCAACTGATAAAATAAATCATTCTTTCAACTCGTCAACCTTAAGAACTTCTCCACAAACTAAATTACTTTTTAAAGAAAAACGGGATTATTCTCAGCCTATTACAAATTCATCTTCTAAGTTAAAACAAACATCAATGTTCATAAGTCAAAGTATTATTAAAAATACTTTTAATAATGAAACATGTGAAGCACCTAAAACTCTTACTCCACCTACAGAGACAGAAAAATTAATATCAGAACGAAATGAATGGGAAAAAGAATTACCTCAACTTCCATCAAGAAAAGATGGATATCCATTACGTGATGTTGGTTTAAAACAATATTTATCAGAAGTTATTGCATTAGAAGGGGCAACTGACATTTGTTATATTTATGAATGGTTTGTAGAAAAAAAACAATCAATTCCATTTATGTCATTAAGGCATCCAAGGGTATGTGGGTATTTAATGAAACAATCATATATTTTTGGAACATGGACAGAAAGATATGTAATTATTAAAGATAATGTATTAGTGTATTTTCCAAGTGATCGATGTATTCAACGATTAGAATTTCCTAGTGATATCTTACAATTAATTGGTTCTGAAATAGAATTAAATGAAAATATTATTTCCATTAATTTAATTAATGGTATGTCATATACTTTCCGTGTTGATGAGGGAAATGTTAATGAATGGATGTTAGCATTAAATTATGCACAACAAAAGAAAAGAAGACAAAGAAAATATAGTGAATATAGTGATACACCAAGAAAGGGGACAGATACTATTAAAGATGATTCTGAAGAAAAACATATAATCAATAAATTTTATGCATTAAAAGAAGAAGCAAGAAGAATTGGTTTAGTTTATGAAGAAATGAATGATAAAAATTCAGAACAAATGAAAATATTTCAATTATTTAGACAATTAGAACGATTGAGTTATGATGACATTTGTTCTAAAACATTTATTAATCAATATTTACATAAACTACAAGATATTACTACAAATAATGCTTCTGACTTATTAGTTTTTCATTACTTTCAACAATTCAATGAATTTATTTCTCTAACTGCTGTGGTAAAAAAAATTTTAGAAACACCAGAAACACCAATTATTCAACCAAGAAATAGACAGTCTTCTACAGGAAGAAGAAACCAAGCATCATTGGGAATGTCACCATTAAATTCTCCTAAAACATATGATAAAGCTGGTGTTCGAGTAGCAATTTGTCGTATGTGTGAAAGAGAAATAGAATTTGATATACTTGCAAAACATACATTTTATTGTAAAATGTGTTTTGAATTATGTTCAAATGAACCTAGTTGTAAGTTAAGGTTACAAATATTAAAAGACCAATTATTAAAACAAAAACAAATACAACAAGGAGGAATTAATTATGATGGAGTTATTGGACTCACTGAAGAACTTTCAAATATTACTAAATTATCAAGTAAAGTATTGGAACAAATGAATAACGCAATTACTATGCTTGAAGAAATTACAACTCATTCTGTTGATGTGTGTTTATCAGCATTTGCAGGAATGATTTCAAAAATTGTTAAAAGGAGACTTTTGTTAATGAAGAATTATGTTTCTAATCACTCAATTGATATGTGGACATATACTTCATTATGGGATGGTAACGTTCAAGTTGAAGAGGCATCAAATGGAAGTGTCTCATTAAAAGATTTTGATGTTTTAAATAAGTTTAGCAGTGGGGCATATTCTCGTTTATATCTTGTAAAAAAGAAAACAACAGGAGATATATATGCAATGAAAGTTAGTAGAAAAGCTGATATGGTAAGAAAAAATGTTGTTGATGGAGTATTAGCTGAAAAACAAATTCTTCAAAAATCAGTTAATCAAAGTGTTGTTAAATTATATTATGCATTTCAAGATAAATGCAGTTTATTTCTCGTTATGGAATTTTGTCCAGGAGGAGATTTGGCTTGTTTAATTAGAGAAGTAGGAAGGTTGTCTGAAGTTACAGTTAAAATATATTCAGCAGAAATAGTTTTAGCTTTAGAATATATTCATTCATTAGGATGTATTCATAGAGACCTTAAACCTGATAATATTCTTATAGATGCAAATGGACATTTAAAACTTACAGATTTTGGATTATCTGTATTTGGATATAAAAGTGAACAAAATTCTTTTCTGGATTCAAGACTATTATGTACTCCTGATTATGTTGCACCAGAAGTTATTAATGAAAGGTTATATTCTACTGTAAGCGATTATTTTAGTTTAGGCTGTATGATTTATGAAATGCTTGTTGGTGTTCCACCATTCAATGACAAAACACCTGAAGCTATATTTAAACGAATTCGAATGAATGATTATCATTGGCCAACTGAAACAAGTGATGATGAAGACATTATTTCAGATAATGCATATTCTATAGTCAATGCATTGTTATTACCTGAAGAAAAGAAAAGACTTGGGGCAAAAGGAAGTGAAGAGGTTAAAAACCATCCATTTTTTGAAAGAATTCGTTGGAACACATTATTAAGTGAAAGTAGAGAAGATATTTTTGTGCCAAGATTAGATAGTGCATGTGATACAGGATATTTTTCAAGAGAAACTAAAGAATTTTCTCCTGCATTAGGAGAAGATAGTATTGGGTTTGGTAACTTTGATTGTACTTCTGTAAATAGACTGGCTGAAAAAAATATTAGTGTATTAGAAGAGGAAAGAGATGAAATAGATTACGAAAACTCAACAGAATGTACAAGTTCATCAACAACCCCTGATTCAATTAACGAATCAACGTTTATTGCATAAAAACGAATTATAATATTTCATTCATAATTTCATTTGTTTAGTTATTAATTGTTTGATTATAGTTTTATTATAATTTAAATTAAAAAAAACTTAAAAAAATAAAAGAAAACCTTCACAATGGAAGCACCAATTGATGTACAAAAAATGCTTGATGAAATGAAACTCCTTGAGAGGAACATACAAATGGATATTGAACCAGTTACACAAAAACCATTATTTATAATTAAACCAGAGGAGTCAACAAATATTTCTGTTCAAACAATTGACAATATAATACAGACAACATTATGTGCTGCAGATAGGTTATTCTTAAGAGAAAGAAAAGTTATTCATATTGGACCAAATATTGAAACTCAAGGATTACAAACAGTTGCAAAATTATTATGTGAAAATGATCCAATTGAACAACTACGATCTATTTTTCCTCCATCTCGTTCTATTAAAGTAATTTTTGATTTAATTCAAGATTTATATAAATTCAGAATTGATAATAATACTATTCAATTAAGTCCAATTCAAGCAGCAACACTTTGTTTAAAATATGTAGAATTAAATTTTAAAGATAATTTTGTTATTCAAAATGATGGAACATATAAAAAAGATGATATAGTTCAATTCCTTAGTCAAACATTAGAAATAGAAAATAGAAGAAAGCCAACAACATTAACATTAGCTTTTCATTTGTATCGAGCAGGACTTAGAGATGAAGCAATTCAAACATTAGAAGATGAAATGGGAAAAACAAACGAAGCTTTTAGTGAAGCAATTAAAGGAAATATTAATAAATTAAAACAACTCATATTAAGTGATCCAATAGAAAAGTTATTTGGAAGTATTTTTACTAAAAAGGATGTTATTGGTATTGATCCAACAGTTGATGCTTTCATTCATGCTAATGTTGACAATTATATTTGGTATAAAGTTTGTTAGTTTAAATAAATTCTTCTTCAAGTGATATATCACTTATCTCTTTTTAGCTTAGTTCTTCTCAAGACATAACAAAAACATTTAATGAACTTCAACAAATAGTTCCACCTGTATTATTAAGAAGTCCAGATGATACTACTTTCTTCTTTTTATTATTACTTCAACAATATGAACAAGCAGTTTCTACTCAAATTGAAAGAGGAACTCCATTTGATGTAATTGGATATACTGTTCTTGTTTTATTACGTAAAATAAATTTCTTGGACGAACGATTTGTACTTCATTATTTACACTCTATCTTATTAAGTGTAACTGGATGTTATCAATTACTTGATTCTATTAATGATAAAGATACTGCTATGATTCTTTCTGATGTTATAGAAAAACCTGATACGGAAGAACCAATATTACAATATGCTAGTTCAAGACCTCAGATGGCTCAAATACTTGCTCCTCTTGTTCGTTCTAAGTTACTTTATGCTCATTTGATGATAATTGCTGGTCAAAAACAAATGGCTCATGTTGCTATTCAAGAACTTCTTGATTCTTATTTAATGAATGGAGAAAATATTGATGAACTAATTCAAGTAAATAATCTAATAGAACCAACTGATGAATATTTCAAAAATGTGTATGACATATTACACACTAGTGATTGTAAAGAAGTTGTTAATAAAGCAATTCATTACCAATTCATTCCTTCCAGAGATGACTTTAGTGAATTACAAAATATAGTTAATAAATGGGACATTAGCATTGAAAATAATAGCATTAAAACAGGAACACGGACATTTGTTCTTTCATTTATCTTTAGAAATATTATTCAATCAATTTCAATAAATTCATTTGATTCATCTCAATACAAATTGATTGGAAAATATTTTGTTGCAATGATTGCATTATTAAAGGATTGTGCTGATGATACTTTTATGGAACTTATATCTGGATATAAATCATATCTTCTCAATTGACTGAACTTTTTTTTATAAACTTTAATTTATTATCGTCAGTTTCAATTACTTGAAAAAATAACTATTCAATTAGTAAAAAAAGAATAAAA